AAAGGCAAAAACAGGAAAACATTACAACCTAATGGATTGGACTAAATATAGGCTTCCAATGGACCGAATCAGCTCACGGGCCGAGCTTACATATCCATCGTATTAATGGACTAGACTAAATTATCGGCGCTTAATCCATGAGTCCAATTACAAAATGTTTCGGTTTTGAGGCGTTTAAATTCCCGTGCCTACTCTGTGACGAATGAACATGGCTAACATTGACGTGATTTGGCCAACTAAAAATCAAACAAAATTATATGATATGATAGCTTTAAACTCATATTGGTGAGCATTATTTGCTTTAAAAATTGTGATAAAGATCAAAAATAGAAAAAGAGATCTTGCAGGTTAAAAATTGATAGTAAAGAAAATTTTTCATATTTATAAGATATTGTTGGAAACTAATCATTATATCCTCATATGTGGTTAATCTCCAAAGTATACTCATGGAAACTCAGTATATTTGCTTTTATAATATGGTATTGCACAAATTTTCTTCTTTGAGTTTGAGCGAAAGATTTGCTAGATCTATACTAGTGATTTTGAGCTTCTTCACTAGTACATTTCTTCTCAATCCTACTTAATGAAAAACTCATTCTCCTTTATCACAAATCCATTAAGAAGTTAGAAGCAATATGAGTTCTCTGTTTGGATGAGAATAATAGAAAGCAAGACGACTACTTGTATGTCATGGAGAAAGATTCACTATTTCAACGGTAATGTTAATACCACGATCTCAGATGTAGTTCTCTGTTTGCATAGGAATAATAAAAAGCAAAACGACTACTTGTATGCTAGGGGCAAATATTCACTGCCTAATTTGATGGCAATGTTAAGATTATGGTCTCGAATGGATGTAGGGCAAAATGTGGGATTAGAGTTTGAAAATTGTAATCTAAAAAAGTTGAAGATAAAAGGAAATTGGATTGTTGCGTGATCAACATGAAAACAAGAGTTCAGTTTGGTTTGGTTAGACTGAGTCTTTTGCGAGTTACATATGAACTAGCCAGCCACATGGGAGAGCAAATAGGAAAAGCCACTTTTCTCCATAGATTAGCACTAGGTATGGGTCCCCACGGGCCACACTCATAATCCCTTCCCCATTCCTCAAAAATTGCTCTAGTTTTAAAAAGTCATATGAGCTAAAAGAAGCTCGTTTCAATGGATTCATAAGTACTTGTTTTTGAAATGGGTAAGCTAAATTGAGGTTTCTTTTAAGAAAGTTGGGATGAATTTTAGGTTTTTTATTTTATTTTATTTTAAAAATATATAAACATATTAATATTTATTTTAATTAATATATTACATATTTTTAAGGTAGTAAAAAGATTTTAAAAAGAAAAAAAGCTAAACTACTGAAAAATGTTCTCAAATAAAATCTAAGTTGGCACTTGACCTAATTTATTTAACTTGTACGTCAAGCAATTGAAGGTAAAATATGTTATAAGATGAAATTGTTATCATAATTTGTTGTAAATATGTTAGTTGCCAATTTTTGTCAACCCTACTTCAAAGTGATTGAATCTGAATTAGTCTAATTAACCAAATTAAACCATATTCTTATAAAAATTTTCAAATAAATGCCCTACATTGCAATTTAAATTATCTAAATTATAAAATAAAAATTATTAGTTAGAAACAATCCCTAATATGAAAGAGCCCCCATCTAATAATGTAAAGTGTGCATTTTTTTTAGGAAAATGATTGGTATACCCTTCGATTCAACATATTTAACAACACCCTCCGGCTCACTTATTAAAATTTATTTTTAAAAATTTTCTTGCTTTGAATTTAAATTTAAAAATATTAATTTTTTAATTAATAAATTATAGTATATACAGTGTGTTAAATCAAAAAATGTACCGATCATTATCTTTTTTTTTTTTATGTTATTTCAAATTCTTACGAATAAAGAGCGACACCTTCCCAAGAAATTTCTTTCCTTGTTCTTATCAAAGATTTGGTAGGGTTATTGAATATATGTAAAAAGGGAAAATTATTTATAAGTGGTAGTAGTTAATCCTGCTGCACAGCAGAAAGATCTTTCAAGTTGCCATCCTCGAACAAAATCCTAATCAGGTCTCAGGTTTTCATGCTGCCATATTTGGCCTCCCTCTATTAACACTCAGAAGAAAAAGTGTCAACATTTTTTCACTCTGAAACTTCAAGCCCCCAAAAACAGAGGAGGAATCAGCAATGGGGTTGCCTGGTCATGTCAATGGCGGCAGCAAACTTAAGGAAGACAATGCAGGTGAAGAGAGTTCGGTGGCTGGCGACTGTTCGACACCAAAAGGTCAAAAGTTTAGGGTACCAGAGATGTTGTCATGTCCACCGGCACCAATGAAACCCCAGTTTTGTTCCAACAGGAAGAAGAGTTCTCAAATTGCTTTCTATGCTCCTCCTGAGATAGAGCTCTTCTTCTACTCTGCATTTCGTAATCATTTCACTTAATTTGTTGTTCTCAGAAGTGACCACTAGATACATTGGGATTCAATTCATTTCTCTTTCCAAACCCATCTAATTGATTGTATCTTCCTCTTCTTCCTTTTTTTTTATTTTTTTTTTTATTTTAAGCGTGTAATACAAGCTGATATTACATTCTTATCTTCCACCAGCCTGGAACTCCGTTGGGTCCAACTGGAAAGCGTTTATGTCTTTGGTATAACATCTCAAAGTTCGGGTTTCTTCGTTTTTTCTTTTTCTTTTTTTTCTTTTTTTTTATAACAACTTCAAATTGCCAGTACTTATTAAGTTAAAATTTTTAATTTAAAATTAAAATTAATATTTAAACTTTTATAATACTGAGCAATTTCTATTTTCAACCAAACATAGACTATATTATTGATAGAAACTCCAAGTTT